TGCTTACCCCACTTGACAGAGAAGCATTGATAACTACTTTGAAAGTGATTTTTCAATCAGCTGTGTACCCACCTGATGGCGATTACATCTAGGCCATATTTCCTTAGCTTGCTTATAAGAATGTCATACAGGATTTTATCAAAAGGTTTAGTAAAAAAAAATAAATCAAGATTATGCACAGACAGAAATAATGGGCTTAATGCAAAAACAGCACTGGCTGAAATTTCCCCAACCCTGTGCAGAAGGGTCAGACTGAATGATGACAATGGTCCCATCTGGCCTTAAAATCTATGAATTTATGACTTTACACCTCTGCTGGGGTCAGCCTCAGTCATTTTGCAGTAAGCACATTAGCTCTGAGCATTTATCCCATCTGGAGTCTCTCCGTGTTAAATTATGGACAAGATGGGAGCAAAACCTAGAAGGAATATCAATAAATCCTTAACAAATGCCTCATGAAAGCTGATTTACGTGCAATTAAGCGTTCACCTGGATTCAAATCTAGTTTCTCTCTCATAGAAAAAGAAATTCTGACTTCATTTATTTGTTAAGGGTTCTTTTTGATCTTGGGGAAGAGAGAAAAATGCAACAGCAACTATGAGACTGTCAGAAACTACTGCTGCAGTCAAACAAGGAGGAAAGATCCTGGCAGAATCAGAACCACTTTCAGGGAACCTACAGATTCAATGCAGGGAAAGCTCTTGAAGCCAAGACTGAGAGCTGAAGAGATTCATTTGGAAGGGCCATTTTTTAGCGTGTAATATTAGGCTCCTCTGATGACAATCCTGATCCATAAAAAGCAAGAGACCCACACAGAATTGAAGATCCATTCCTTCTTCTCCCCAGTGACTCCCTCATTCTCACCTCTAAGTGTATCCCTCCATTTTCTTTTCACAAGCACACAGGCATCCATCTCCCCTTATGCTGCACATACTCCTGGGAGCAGATCTCTCTTTTTTATGTTAAAACAAAACAAACCCTCCAATGTCTGCCCAGGCCCTCCAGACTCAGTTAATGCTTTATGTGAAATTTTGGCTGCAATCAATTCAAAGGCAAAACTGAATGGGACCAGGGTTCATACATTTTAAAGCCTGAAGGAATCATTATGATTATCTCATCTGGCCTCCAACAAAGCATGGGCTGCTGAACTTTATCCTGTCCACTCCATCAACCATAACTTCTTGCTGAATTGAAGCTCTTCTTTTAGAAAGACACCCAGCCATGGTGTAAAGCCTGAAAATGGTGGAAAATTCACTTTGACCATTAGCAAGTTTTTTTCAATAACTAATTGCCCTCACAGCTAAACATTTGTACCTGGTTTCCAGTCTGAATTGGTCTAAATCCGTGTCCCTCTCTCTGCCCGCCCCCCCTTCAATCTCATTATGCTGTTAGTCTTCAAGGCTATGTCTGTCCCTGAACTCTATGAAATGGTGCTGGTGATGTATTCAAAACTTACTACCTACTCACTTAAGAGCAGCTGCTCCAGGTAAAGTTTCTAGGGCCCAAAATGAAAAGTGAACCTGTATGGACATATACAGGAACTCTACGCAGATTTTCTGATATGTAGGGCTCCAAATCAGAATGGTTAATTGGTTACCCCGACTGTTCCTGTAACATCCTTCCTAAAGAAATAGAGCAACTAGTACCAGGAAAGATTGTGCCATTAGTTACCTTTTCCACTTAAAAAAAAAAATTCACATGATTGTGGGTGTACTTGCACACGCACACGGTTTAAAGCAAACTGAGCAAATGGTTTGACAGGCATGGAGTTGAGGTCTGCATTTCAGATTTTATTATCAAACATTATTACAGCTGGACAGCAAAAAGTGCAGCAAAGTTATTTATTTATTTATTTTAACCTTTCCCTCCCCATCAAAAACTTGCCTATTGGGCCTGAAAAAACAAACAAGCAAATAAATGCCCCCCACACCAAAAATCAAGTTTGTAGAAAACAGTCATCTTAGGATGCTGCAACACTGGACATAATTTCACACAAATTTATTTAGCTTGATTTGCTATTGACTACGTATGGGATAAAGGAAAACATTTTTGCAACATATTTTCATATCTGCCTGCCTAGCTCTTGGGGGTCATCAGCCCTCTACACACTGCTGTGAAGACCGTTAAGCACAGACATACTTAAGAATGCTTTAAACTGGCTTGGTTACCAGTAACATTCGAGCTACAGCAGCACAGAGCTTAATGCAGACTGCAAAACTCATGCAGGAAGGGAGATAAATTAGTTCACGATGAGAAATTTGCTTCTGTGCATAGACTGCGATAGGGACCCGAGTTAGCTCCTCTCAAGCTAGCTGGGTGTGTGACCACATGTCATGCAGCTGTTGATGCAACCACAATATAGACAATCAAGACTCATAGTACAGATGATATATAATATAGATTTTATCTATAAAACATCATCTCTATTATATAAAAATATAGATTTCATCTATAAAACATATAATCTCTACTACGAGTCCTGATTGCCTTTTCCTCTAGACCAATAAGGCTACAACCTGGATACGACACACAGATAGCAAATTTTAGCCAATTAAAAAAAAAAAAGAAATCTTCATCTTTTCCCAAGCAGGAAGCCACTGTGACCACCTGAAACCTGAGCCTTTGTTTCAAGGTAATTTGCATCATTGCAGATCCTCACAGGAGGCGAGAGGCTTCATACCAGCTATGAACTGACTGCCCAGAGAGGTTTTCCATCTATGGACTCCTCTATGAAATATGAACTTTAATTTCTACCCAAGAGAACTTTTACAGTTTTTTCTCCAATGCCCGATGAATGGTGTTTGTGCCCGAAAGCTTGCAATTAAAGAATTTTTTTTTGCAAAAATCTTGTTCGTGTGATAAAAGATATAAATCTCTACTACGAGTTCTGATTGCCTTTTCCTCTAGAACAATATGGCTACAACCTGGATACCTACCACAACACAGGCATATTCTTTGGGTTTTCTTCAATACCACCTATGCCTATGGTAATGGAGTGACTTCCAAGCAAAACTGGGAGTACTAGGAAAGTACCCAGTGGCTTTCATGGAGCCTCAGGAACATCTGCACTTCTAGCAAGGTTTTAATTAAAAGCAAATAATTGTTAAATTAATCTACAAGTTGTTCCTGTGTTTACCTTTCCTTTATGTTTTCTGGTGTGGGGATAGTTAGTGCAGGTGAGACTGGTCATACAGTCATTTGGTATCAGTTGTATTTTTTTGTCTGGCTGAACTCAAACTCAGTCCATGGAGGTGGCACCAGGCATGTACCTCTTGAGGAGACCCCATCAGAAGTGGTTCTAGACTACTCCCAGCTGCAGAGCAAGAGGGTCACATATTTTTTCTCAAACCTGGCAAAGACTTGAGCAGCACAAGCAGCCGTATGTGCCTGGTTTGCCATGAAGGCCATAGAGAACTGTTAACTCTACCTAGACACTAGGCAAGGGTAGCAAGCTCCTGGTCTTTCTGCACAGAGAGGCCATCCCTAATAGCAACTATGGAAGGTGCACACTTGAATGGGCAGAGAAAGCTAGTGTCTAGGGTGGCCCATTGGAAGTTATCTGAAGTGCAGTACAGTTCAGATAACCACCAAGACCCTAGATATGGAGGTGCCTTGATATATCATTTTCTCAGTGAGCTTGGTTTCCTCTCATCTCTATTTTCACAGACACAGTACTAGAAATATTGGTACCTAATATGCCCATTTTTAACTGATCTCAGTTTAACAAAATGCTCAGGATAAAATTCTGCAGGACTGGTTTCTGACAAAAATTAATTGGTATTTGGAAGAAGGGATGGGGAAAGGATACACCTATTTAATGGAGACAAAGGTCAGTGAACGCATACAAGATTATGGACGTGCATACCCTATGCACAAGCAGCAATCTCCATCATTTTATTAACAGAAAGCAGAACCACCACCATAGAATTTAATTTTGAAAAACTCCATGAATGCAGTATTTCAGCCACACAGACAAGACAAATGAACAAACAGAAAGTCAAGCAGCGTCCAAAAGCGATGTTATACGGATGTTAACACTTACTGGCAAATACTGACCCTTACGTAGGACTTTTTACCCTGTTTTTCTGTTAAAAACGTGCAGCTAAATGCTGCTTCTTGTTCATGTTGTAAAATGGATAGCCTCAGACATCCCCGCAAGATGCAAAACACAAGGTAGTAAAGGTGCTAAGGGAGCTTGAACCTCTGCATTTTCTGTCATTTTAACTATGCAGCTAGTACCACTTCAATCTTCCAGAACTGACATGTCTTTGGCAACTCATTTTTTTAAAAACAAAGAGCCAACATTTTTCAAGCCCATCTCTGCCTTCGTTAAAGTGTTCAGCATTTGAGTAAGACCCTGTATTTGGCAACCCCCCCAAAATTCTTGGCTCTGTGCATTTTCTCAACAGAAACCCTAAACTTTTCAGGGGGGGAAAAAAACAATCCTTGCCCAACCAGCGCGGATATTTGCAGCTGACAGAACTGGAAGATTCAAGTTGCAGTCAAAGCACTTGAAACCAAAGGACATTTTCCTCGGAAAGCCTGTGAATGTAGCAACGGGACTGACAAGGAGGGTAGGTAGCAAAGCACTGGAGCAGAGACACGGGGGGAATCGCTCAAGTCTCGGAGGTTTGTAAGACCTGGACTTGGACGGGATGATCTAGCTGGGGCCGGTCCTGCTTGCGGCAAGGGGTTGAACGAGGTGTCCCTTCCAACTCTCATGTGCTGCGAGCTCTTGCTCGCCCATTCATTGCAGCCAGGACTCCCCCACCTCGCTCTCCTGCCTGCCCGGGGGAGAGGACAGGAGCGGGGCAGGGGCAGGAGGGCTGGGACGGCCTCGCCCCCGCTGCCCGTCTCCTCTGGCGGCCGGGGGAGGGCAAGAAGCCGCCCGGACCTTGCCCCCGGCCACGGCGGGGCGCATCCCTGGAGCCGAGCGCACCGGCTGCCCCGGCCTGGGCTTGCTCCTTCGTGAAAGAAAGTCAGCGCGGGGAGCAGCTTACCTGGAGGAGGAGGAAGAGGCCGTGGCGGGTGCAGAGCACCATCCTGCGGCTTCTCGTGCCACGCTCCCGGAGGCAGGGGTCGGGCTGACGAGCGGTGCGGTGCGGTACGGCGCGGCCCCCGCCTGCTTTTATCCGCCCG